AAAAAAAAAAAAAGTTGAAGCCTTAATGCTGACAGTAAAAGTTATGTATTCAAATTTGGTTTTTTTTTTCGTTATGAACAAAAGCGCTATAAAAACAGAATATAGCAGGATTTGAAGAAAAGTTTTGTTGTCTTTGCAGAATGTCAAATGTTTTATACACTTTTTTTTCCTTAACATTTTGATCAGTAATAATGTGTTTATATATTTGTATTAGCTTGATTTTGTTTAAAAAAAAAAATGCGTGTTTGCTTGTAAATACTCAAAGTGATATTAAAACTTACGATTATAATGGTTGAAAATAATAAGCAAAAAAATTTTTCAAACATATTTGCATCATCATTTGCTAATATAGAATAAATTTGGCTTAACAATTTTTTGACAAATACTTTGTAATTTTTTGCTGCTTTTTTATTCTTTCTCTTTGCTATTACCTAAATCAGTTGCACCTTACGAAGACACCTTTTACCGATATTATACTTTTGCAAAAAGAAGAAAAAAAAATTGTTTTTGCACTATTTAAAGCTGTATTTCTATACACTCTTTTACCAGCGGCTTTATGGTTTTTCAAAATTTGCGACTGTTATGAGACTGAAAATCATCTTTGGTAAAGAATAACTGCGTATTTGACGATAAATAACAATTCGCAGAACTTTATTTTGTATTTCAACTTTGAAATCTTATTGTTGAAGTTTAATCAAATAATAAAAATCTGCTAACTGTTCTTAACTGATAGTAATCTGCACTAATTTTTAATTTGGCCTTTAGCATTTTATTCGTGTTTCTGTATATAACAAAAAAAAAAAAAAAATGCTAAAAATTGTTTATTTTTAATAACTTTTTAAATATACTGTGTTGCTAGCTGATATCTTTTAGAAAAAAATGATAACTTGGCAAACAGCTGTTTGTTGATGGTTATTAACTATTTTCAATGTACCTCTTCTTAACTTTTTCAGAGAAAAATTTTTACATTTACCTTGGAAGAACACCAAAAGCAACCTTACCAGAAGGCATTTTTTAGCTAGGGATCATCCTAAGGGAATGGCACTTTATGTCAGTGTTATACAATCAGTTCAGAAGAGTTTCAGCTATGGCTGAGTTGCTCGCTGTAGCAAATTCAGCTCTTTCTTCAAAATAGACCGTAGACTAGTTACAAAATTCTAAGATTGTTCAACAAAAAAAAAAAAAACGTTTAGTTAGACAATTTTGTATTGAAAATAGAGAAGCGTTTCCTCAATTTAAGTTGTTTTGTAGCAACAAAAAGTCCTTGTCTTTTGTAGCACCAAAAATGCTCGACCAAATATTATGTAAAACAGAACGCAGTAGCAACCAGAATATTAGTGGTTAATAAAAAAAGAATACTTTTTTTTAAAAGGAAATAATTTGTTGTCAGAAATAATAGTTTAACAAAGTTGAAGAAAGTTAATAAGATCTAAAGTCGACATAGTTTTTATATTTATTACTACTCTTTACGTTGCTATAATAATTCTGTCCTCTTTTGAGACCAAAATTTTCAGAAGCAAAGTATATGCAAACAAGTTTAACGATGCTGTACCGTTGGTTGTCAAACATAAAATATTAGGAAATCATATCAAATTTGGTGTTTTTTTTGCTAACTTTATAAACGAAGCTTGAAAAAGTTGAAAAAACTAAAGCCAAAAAATCTTAGGTAAAACTAATTAACTTTTTAAAAGACGGATTAGTAATGAAATAAGCAAGCAATTTTTTCCTCTTAAATTTATTACAGTAATCAAAAATTTTCATTTTTTTGTGTTTATCTTTTTGATAAATGTCGTTTTTTTTCATCAAAA